GAAGTATTAAAAGAAGATGGAAGGAATATACTGAGTCACTGTATCGAAAAGAATTGGAAGACACAGAAGAATTTCATGGAACAACATATGAGCAAGAGCCTATGGTGATGAACTGGGGAGAGTTGAGTAGTTTGAGTTGGAGAAAAGAAGTGACATCCTGAGGCAAAAATAGCCAAAGATCAGAGATTGGACACAGTCTCCTATTTACTGGCCTCTATTTTGTATATTTCCAAATGGTTTACTCACCTAATAGATAAATAGTGGCTTTTCAGATGGTGTAACTACTGCTGTTGCAGCAACCAAATTATATAAACCAATTTCAAATATGCTTTTTAACTTGTGAGCAGATGAGTTGCTAACTCTCTAACTAACTAGGTTCAAGCTCAGAACTCGAATCCACCAACAATGAGTAGGAACCTACTCATAGCTGAACCTCCAACAGGTTTTCAGAGGTTGTAAATTGCACAGGAGGAGATTGCTAAAACGATGCCTCTCTGGGGGTTGAAATCCACCAGCGGCTCTAAGGGGGAGAGATAGTTGGTCTTTCCCTTGGATTTGAACCACCAGAGAAGCACAGCCCTTGGTTAGCAGCACAGCTTCCTGTTAGCTAAGCCACCCGATCAGATCCTACAAAAGAAGTTAGTAGCATTGATATAACTTAAGTGCTTTGCAGCTTATCCCAGCCCTCATCCCTGTCTCATCTGAGAACTAATGTGGCCATCTCTATCGGACAGCGAATCTCCACTTAAGCCCTCCTTTCACTCACTAGACATAACAGTAAGAAAAACCATCAATCTGTAGCTAGCACTACTCTATCAGTTACTACTTAATGTAATTACAGCATTTCTGGCTTTGACATCCTCCACAAAGGTCCATAAATGTAAATCAACACAACTGAAACTTGACATTGCCTGTATTAAGAAAATTGGTCTTAGGAGAGAAAACATGTGAAAGAAGTTTTGAAAATATTAAAGTGCTGTGGGAAAATAAGAGAGATTTCTTTTCTATTAGTTTTCCTCCAACTAATTTTATGAGTATTTTCCTTTTAAAACAGAAAGTGGAAGACTGCAACGTGGACTACTGTACAACTGGGATGTCAGAGTCAAGTGTAATCATAAAACCAGGACCACAAGCCAGCCAGGTAGGATTTTATGAATCAAGTAGTTTTGTGTCCTTAAAATCGGTGAAGCATCCCTAACTTTCACATGCTGTATTCTCTTCTCTGAGTGCTGTGGGTGATTTGGCTACTAGCTAAAAGGTTGACTGTTCAAATTCACCCAGAGGCACCTACGAAGACAGGTTTGGTGACCTTTTGAAAGGTCCAGTGATGACAATTCTGTGGAGTAGTTCTCTGTAACACATTGAGTCAACATGGGTAAGAATAAGAATTGTTTGGATTGTAACAGTAGCTCTTATTTTCATAATTTTTTTTTACATTCTTAAATTTTCCATGAATTTACTCAACAAACACTTATGAAGTACTTATCTATTACATATCCTGGACCCCTGTGCTAAGTGCTGGTAGAGAGATCTGAACACTAGATATGCTGGGCTCTGAGCTGGAGGAGTGCATATTTGGGTAGAAAAAATCAGTATAGGTACAAATAAGTGCAATACAATGTGCAAACACTGTAACAAAGGGTGAAAAACAAAAACTGTAGAAACCCAGAGGATGCCGTGAGGACTGTTTCTGAAGAGCACCAAAGGAGGGGACCTATGAGCCTGAAAAGGGATTAAGATTTCTCCAGTCGAGGCCAAACAAATTGGTGAAGAAGCCACCTTATGAAGCCAGAAAAAAAAAGTAGTGATGAATTTCCCACTTTACCATGCGCCTGGGCCAATCAGGATTGTGCCACATTGCACAGTAGACCTCTTTGTCGGTATGCACTTGATAAACTACCCTTGAAAGCTCTGAAAGCAACCATGTGTTGGATGCTTACAGAGTCCAGTACAAGCCATTGCGGTCCTCGTCCAGTTTCCGTTTTCCTCGAGCCTGCAGAGGATGTCTGTGGTTGCTCAGCTGATGGGAGAGGATTGTGTTCACGCCTACATGAAGGGAGCCCCAGAGATGGTCACCAGGTTCTGCAGAGCAGAAACAGGTACTGACAATTTTGGCCTTTGGGAGGGAATTTTTAAGCAAACTTTAATTTTTAGAGAAGTTTTAGGTTTACAAAAAAAATTTCATAGAAAGTACAGAGAATACACTCACAGATATCTCTTACACGACACCCCCACCCCCTTCTCCCATTATTAATATATTGAAAAAAGGTGGTTTATTTGTTACAACTGGTGAACCAATATTGTTGTTGTTGATGCCTTTGAGTCAACCTCCATTCATAGAGACCCTATGAACAAAAAGCCTGAAGTCCTCTACAACTATCAACATTTATCAAAGTTCATAGAGTTTCCGGAGGTATGTTGTTTAGGATGTGGATGCCACTCCAGCTTCCAAATACACTTATTAAACAAAGATAGTAGCACACATTGACACTAGGTAAAGGTCAGGGTTTACAGTAGAACTCACTTTTAACTGTTTAATAGCCCTATGGGTTTTAGCAAATACAGAATGACGTGTGTCTACAGTTTTAGGGTGTGCATTCACCATTACGGTATCATACAGAATATTTTCATTTACTAAAAATCTCTGCTCCATTTACCTCCTTCTTTCTTTTAATTCCTGACAGCTGCTGGATTTTGTTTTGTTTATTTTTTAGGATGAATTCAGAGGATAGTTTTGGTTTAAGGTTAGAGTCTAAAGACTACCTCAAGGCAATAATTTCCTCCGTTTGTCCAGTCTTAGTGATTCCAAAAAGTCTGGATTCCATGAGAATTTTAAATTCAAGTCCGCATTTCCTCCACTTTTGATCAGGAATCTCCTATAGAATCTTGACTCAGAACTGTCATTTCTCATGGTATCAAGGCAGAAAAGGTAGTTGTTAATGAATGTAATGAGACCTGCAGTTTAGTTCAGAGGTAAATAGTTTAGAAAGTGAAACACCTGAAGCAAACAAAGTTAAATTAATGACTGTAGAGTCAACCATTGTGTGGGTAAGGGTTCTAATGGACTAAGCAAGGAGTGGGCATTCACCTCACAGCAGGAAGTATAGTCTATCTGTGGTACAATCTGAAGAATATAGTAAAAATGAGCTACCAGGGGAGGAGCTGTGAAGCAGCATCTGGATCAGGATAGGGAGACCCTCCTGTGGTGAGAGAACTAGGGAGGATGAGAATGAGCATCACTCAGAAGGGACCAACGGGACACTAGACCGTAATTCTGCAGACAGGGTTGCTCTTTGCCCTACGAGGCTGGCTTCATGCATAAAGATTTGGATAGAACCATAGCAGAAGAATATTAAAAAAGAAAAATCTTTTAGGAGAAAAATGTGATTAGAGTAAGTTAGATGGCATTAAAGCAAAGTAATTGATCACTTTCACAGCAATTTCATCTTTCTGAGCCAGATTTTGAGCTGATTTGTATTGTTTTTTTGCCTTAGAAACATATGCACTCTCTAAGCGACAGCCCAGATTTATAAGAATTTTGTTGCATTCAAATGAGTTCATTTATATAAAATTGGCCTTTTTCTCCTGATTTTCATCTATATTCTCTTGACAATTGCTGATAGCCATCAACTTGTACCCAGAATTTTAGATTCGGCACATGATTGCTTTAACTTTCTTCTCCATTTGAAGTGTTTTTGTACCCTTGAAATGCTTGGTTCCCCCCTCCTAACTTTGACCTTCTCTTGAAGTATCTGTTAGCACAATCCTACTCAGATAAACAGACTTCTCACCACTGTCCCCTCTTCCCCATTTAGACACAAACAACTATATTATTAACATTTTAAGTATTTTTTTATTGCCCCATCTGTCAATAAAAGGCTGTCTTATCACATTCTACCTTCTTCTCTTGGCAGCTTTTCCATTCCTTTCTATTGGCCTAACCTCTGGCCTTTGGTACTAATACTCTCTTCAGTGATATAGTTTCTCTTTTATTTAAGAAATAGAGAACTAGGAACTTCTTTATAATTAGATACCTATCTCCAGAATTATTTTAGAATTCTAGCATGTAAATGCTCAAATACCAGTTGGAAGTCTGGCAACTCAAACTCATCTGGAAAGACCTTAGAACACAAACCTGACGATCTGTTTCTTAAATGTCCCAGCTAAGAAAACATATCGAATCATGCTAGTCTGCACACTCAAGCCATTATGAGTCAATAGACTCAAGGGCAACTAACAACAGTAGCAAGTTGAAAGGAGTAGAGACATTACCTGAGTGATTTTGATGAGTGAGAAAACTGAACTCCAGACAGAGATCCCACATGTCCAAGGTCAGAAAGCCAGCAGTAGAGACTAGATTTCAACTCTATTGGTTACTAAGCCATTACTTCTATTATACTTTACTTTCTCCTAATACTTTTGTAGGCACAACACATAAAGATTTTATAGATTATAACCTTTAGTTACGATTATGTTACTGGCATCTCTTATTTAGAATTTGTGCTTAGAAATGTCTTAAAAATTTTTCACTTTTCAGGTCATATAGCATCTTTCTCAAACACTTCTGAATTGTGTTATGAAAGTAGCCACAAATGCTATTCAAATAAATATCCCTGTGTGTGTTCCAATAAAACTTTATTTACAAAGACTAACAGTGGGCCAAATTTGACCAGTGCATTGTAGCCTTTCAACCTGAACTAGATAGTCCACCACTTCCCTGACCCCAGCCAAGTATTTAAACCATTGGGAAGACATAACACTAAAGCTGTTTCCTAATTAATTCAGTGGGTGTACTTGACACCAAATTGATGACCAGTGAATCTAGGACATTCATTTCCATAAGACCAGTAAAAATACGTTAATGTAATTGTTCATGGCCTTTGAACGGAGCTATAATTTTTCTTAAAAGTCTTGTTCTGGAGTGAAAGTTAAAAACAGAATACAATGACTGCATCCCAAAGTCTTGCTCAGCAACCTTCATTGGGAACTTATATTCATTCTTTCTCTGTATTTCCATACAGTTCCCAAAAATTTCTCACAAGAGCTGAAGAATTATACAATACAAGGCTTCCGTGTCATTGCCTTTGCCCACAAAGATTTGAAAATGAAGATCCTTTCAGAAGTGGAGAGTTTAACCAGGTAAGAAACCGGGTAACAAGCACAATGTGTTAGTTTAATGAGTAAAAAAGTGGGACATTTCTGTGTGCTTGAAGTGAAGGAGACCTGCAGGTGGACAAGGTTCACCCACACGAAAAGGAAGGCTCTCAGAAACAGAGACTCCATCTGACTTGGAAGCGTAGTGGAAAGACAGCTGGGAGAGAGGCCTTGTTCAGGTCACAAGCCAATTAGATTCAAGTCAATCATTTCTTTTTCTCTGCCCTGCATTATCCATCTAAGTCCCAGCTCTCAACTCACCAGAAGAAACCCACTCACCTTCAACTTCAGATCATGTGGCTGATTTGTATGAGTATCCCACACATACATAAGTCAAAGGAAGGAGACAATTGGCCCCTTAAAAGACTACCAGAAATCTCTGGACTCTACTTCTTTCAGAGCTCAAAACTTTACCCTTCATGTTTGGTTAGGTAATGAATGTAAACTGAGTTCCTCACATTGTCGTTATTAGATGTTGTTGCATCAAGTACAACTCATAGTAATCCTATGAACAACAGACCTGAAACCCTATCCTACCCTATGCCGTCCTCACAATCTCTGACACATTCAAGCCCATTGCTGCAGTCACTGTGTCAATCCTCCTGGCAGAGTGTTGTCTTCTCCAAAATTTAGTGTTTTTAATTATTTTTTGTTGTTGTTCAATGCCTACAACTTATAAGTTTTCCACATTGGGGGATTTTAAAATAATATTTATGGACCTTAATATTATTTTGTTTTCCAAAGGATTATTAGATAAATACTATGAAACATTAATTCACACATGATTTATGTGTCATATATGTCTGATTTCATTTATGTTGCTGATAAGGAAGTTATCATTTATACATAAGTAGCTCTTTTATGTAAGACATATATGCTGGATAGTCAACACAACTATTTGCAACCCAAGTCTATCTACTCTAAGATGATGAATGAGACATTGTATCTTACTGTGAGCCTTTTCCCCATCTGTAAAATATAGGATTTGATGATCTCTAAGGATTCTTTCAGCCATAGTGCTCTCATCCTTTGTGTAGAACCACAAAGCTCATTTTTAAGTATAGGAAAGACATACTCAAATTTAATGTTCAAAGTTGAGTTTTTCTTGAGGAAACACAAAGGCCCATGACACTTACATGTTTAAAATTTTTCAGGACGAAAACTTGCGGTCATGTGTGAAAAGATTTACATACTAGGGATAGAGCATGGTCATATCTCAGCTGCCACACATCTGTGTAGCTGTGTGGTTCCCATTAAGGGTCACCAGCAAGACACATATGGGAGCTCTGGTGGCATAGTGTCAAGAAGCTGCACTGAAATCCCCAAAGCAAGCATTTTGGGGCCATCAGTTGCTCCATAGAAGAAGGATGAGTAATTTCCTTCTGTGTGGTTAACTGCCTCTGAAAACCCAGAGGGTCAGCTAAGGGTTGGTTCCAACTCTAAGGTATACAACAATTAAAAAAAAATAAGATAAAATATGCTATGTGTTAACCATCTCTGATTTCCCCCAAGACTATCAGGAAGCTATCACGCTTCTTGGAGAGCTCTGGTGGTCTAGTGGATAAAGAGTTGACCTGCCAACCCAAAGACAAGAAATGTAAATCCACTAGGTGTTCCATGAACAAAAGATAAACAATCTCTTCCTATATAAATTACAGCCTTGAAAACTCACTGGAGGGAGAGTCAGTTAAGAGCTGGTTCTAATTCAACAACTTTATTAAGGATCCTTGGTCGCCTAGTGTCAGACTTCCAATCAAAAGGTCAACAGTTCAAAACCACAAGTCACTTTAAAGGAGAAAGAAGGGCAGTCTTCTAAAAACTGCAATGGAGAAAAGCAATGGAGAGTCGCTGGGAGAGTTGGAATAGCGTAGTTGGCACTAGGTTTGGTTTTGATTTGGTAATATGCTTCTTGGAACTTGGTTGTTGTTTTCAAGAAGGATAAAGGAATAGGGTTCTAATTTTACTTGTTGTTGTTGTTATTTGCCAATGAGTTGCTTGCAACTCAAAGCGACCCTATGTACAAGAGCCCTAAATGCTCTATCCTGTGCCAACCTCGTTGTCTCTGACACACTCATTCCCACCATCCCAATCACAGAATTGATCCATCTCATCGAGGGTCTTCCTCTCCTGCACCGTCCCTCCACTCTCCCAAACATGTTATCTCTCTCCAAGGACCAGTCTCTCCTTGCAACATGCCCAAAGTATGTCAGACGAAGCTTCAGAATCCTTGACTCCAAGGACCACTACAGCTTCAACCTCTCCAGGATAAACCTGCTTGTTCTCCTAGCAGTCCATGGTATATTCAACACTCTGCTCCAGCACCACAGCTCAAAGGCATCGATTCTCTTTCTATCATCCCTAGTCACTGTCCAACTCTCTGATGCATAGCACATAACTGTGAAGACTATAGCTCAGATAAGGTGCACCTTAGTCTCCAGCCTGACATCGTTGCTCTTCAGTACTTTTGAGAGATCCCTCACAGCTGACTTTTCCAATGCAATTCATCTCTTGATTTCCTGGCTGCTGTTACCAAGAGTGTTGGCTGTGGAACCAAGTAAACGAAAACTGTTAACTATCTCAATCACTTTACCATCCTTACTGATGCTGCCCATTGGTCCAGTGGTGAGAATCTTTGTTTTCTTGATGTTGAGCTTCAATCTGTATTGAAGGGTGCAATCCTTGACCTTCTACAGCAAGCGCTTCGGGTCCTCCTCAGTTTCAGCAAGCAGGGTTGTGTCATCCACATAACCCAGTTTGCTGATGACTCTTCCACCAATCCTGAT